AGCATAAAAAAACATGTATTACATGCGATGCTAAAAAACCATGAGTCTCGAATGAACTCGAGTCAAGCAAAAAAAATATCACATATAATGTTTGCATCAACAACGAATGTTTTATAAATTATATTCATATTGAATTTAAGTTATTAATGTAATTTGACTAAAACCAAAATAAATAATATCGAAATATATTACATAAGAAATCAGATGTTCTTAAATATTTCATTATTAAATGATATATTGTATAAAAATCGTCATTAACATGCTTTTTAAAATTTCCTATTTTGATAAACTTCTTTAATTATCTTTTTTATATTAACCATATTTTTTTATAAAACAGTTTATTTGTAAAAAGAAGAGTGATATATTTTTGGAAAACATCCTTAACATTAATTAATTATTGTGTACAAATAGTTTATTTATTTTTATTAATTTAATTAAATTTAAAGAAACTGTTTGTGTGTGTGTGTATGTGTGTATGTGTGTGTAAGGCGAAAGAGAGAAAAGTTTAATAAAACTAACATTCTTTGAGTTTTTAGGTGATTGTGTTCAACCCTACCGATTATCCAGATATGACCAGTGGTGGTGTCACGGAGGTACTCGCAGTACCTCTCTCCGAGACTTTTCTGGACGTAGTTGGAACGCTCTTTACTAGTAACCCGGGAATCGAAAATTTCCCCAGGAATAAACGTAACTGCATTTTTTCAGATGAGGGAAAGTTAATGTCTAATATTACGAAGTATACTTACAGTGATTGTATCGTCGATTGTAAAATTAATTTCATACAGAAGTCCTGTGGATGCAGACCATTCTTTTATCCACGTCGCAGCAAGAAAGATTGTTAGTAAAAATATGTTATTAATTTTCGTAACTGTTTATGTTGGTCTTTAAAAAAATTCTTGGTTCACTATAAATATGCATAACTTAAAATTTGATGCACTTAATGCTTACGCATATTGTTATTTGCAGCTTACGGATATAAACTTATTAATGATAAATTTGCTTTTAATTAATGATAAATTGATATAATATGTGTTCTTACTTTGGTCGTTTAATTTTTCAGTGTTTATCTGCAAAATCATGAAATCTATTAATTTTAATTAAAAATTGCTTATTGTATTTCATTTGTAAAATTAAATAGAATATAAAATATTTAGTAGATGCAACTTATACATAAACTCTTTTTTAGAAATAAAATTCTTTCTCAACTCTATTCACTTGCACGTTAAGGTAGTATTTGTTAAGAATTTCTGTTGCATGATATAATTTTGAAAGAAGAATCGTTAAATAATAATGACAGATATTAAATCTTACAGCGACTATGATTTCATAATAACAAGTTTTTAATTTGTTGAGATTTCAAATTACATTCCATGATTTTGTAAAAGCTTTAATTGGCTTATAATTCTATTCAGCTTCGCAAATTAAAAATTTAACTGCGCTTGCTACTGCTTTCTTTTCTAAAACTTAAATTATAATTCGCAAATAAAGTTCGCAACTTAAAAAATGTATATTATCAAATATCTTACTCAAATAAGGAAAATATAGTAAAATTAGTCATTTTAGTTACGAAAAGGTATAAGAATTTTTATAAATTTTTATAAATACCTGTAGGTTTTCTGTCCACGAATTTTTTAAATGTTTGGGCTAAACTGTTTTAAATATTAAAACATAATGTGTTAGATTTCACAAACAATTAAAAATTTAAAAATTCTCACATATATTAAGCTGTATATGCATGATGAGGAATCCGTACAGTTGAATGAAAGAGTATTAAATATGTAGCAGTTCGTATATTTATTACTCTTCAGTGTCTTATTTATGTGTGGCTTACGAGATTTATTAAGCTTACCTAATGACACTATAAAGTCAAGTGACAGGATATAATGGTCGCCATAATAATATACAAATAATGCTTTATTTATTTATTATTCAATCAGATCATTTTATATGATTGAAAGTCTCGATAAAACTGATATTAACTTCATTGATCTTGACGAATTGTATATACGAGCAACAAACGAATTTCGATGTTAATAGAACGAGTGGTAACATCGAACTTGTACACTCGCAAGAGCGCGAACTACTTTCATTGGTGTTTCTTTGCAGTGCATCACAGTCTACCGAGGCTGACAATTTAACAATATTGCTAGCAATCTTCGGAACAAATAGTGTTGCTTTCTTTTCGATTTTATTTCCTTCTTAAATTCTCCTTATACAATTTAATTCTTCCATTTATCTTCTTTTGTTTGTAGCAAAATACAATTTATATGTTTTAGAAAATATGATTTAATTGTTATTATTTGTTATTTATTAATAGAATACGCTGATAAAATTACATTAGATTATAAATAATCATAAAAATTTATACAGACATTACAGAGAGTTTTTGTTTAACAAAAGCTTTTTAATGGAAAATTTAATTTGTTTTAGGCAAGTTAAGAAATATTTAGTAAGTATTAAATTCTGTAGTATTACATACTTTTTCATAATTAACGTTATAACAATTATAATAACATTATTATTATTATGTCTATTATATTTATAACAGTGTTTTTAGATACGTAAAAATATCATATATAAATATAAAAATTAGTCAAAATTCATAAAAGTCTTTAGTAATAATATAATAATTATTTTTGTTTTAATAAAAAAAATAAAAAATCAATAAAAGAAGAGAAATAAGAAATCAGAGCGAACAGTCAATATGATAACATCATAGATAACGTATCTTCCGAAGCCAATAAGATTTCCGTCAATTCCTCACATCCTTCTCACATCTTTCATTCATGCTTCGATTTTTCTACTTTTGTCGCGAAAGTTGAGATAAAACAAAAATAAATATTAAATAAGAAAGCACGATATAAAAATAGTTCTTGAAAATATAATATAATAATTAAAAATAAAGTTTTAAACCTAGTTCTATTTTCAAATTAATCGAAATATAAAATATAATCATTAATTTAATAATTTGAATTAAAAAATGTAATTGTAAATTAAAAGTATATAATTAAATATAATTAGATATAATAATTCTTATTGAGATATTAATCATAATAGAATTATGATTGCGATAATTAAAAGAAATGTATAAGTCAGGATAAACGTGACTAATTTTATCAAATAAAATTTTATTACTTAAGACTATAGATAAGATTTAAATAGACTATATAGTAAGGATCGTATCTTATTGGATAAATCGGGTTTCTCCAGACCGGTGAACTCTCTTACATCTCAGCGATTTCTTTCTTCTATCACGAAGTCGAGAGGCGTGGGTGGCAATCTGTAAAGGAACGTTGCGCGCCGCATTGCGAGGCGTATGCGTTCGCGAGCTTTCTAACGAGGCTTTACCACGGGTGGCTTAAAGCATTAAAGCGGATCGCGTGAAGCATCGCTCTGTAGGATTAACTTACTGTGGCCGGAGTTCTAGCGAAGAAGAGGAACTCGCTGAAAGCGGCGCCGCGCTGCATGCAACACCGAGTATTCCCCTTTCTCTGTTCTTTCGTTTTAAAGCCGTCCCGATTGCTCTTTTTCTCGCGCTCCATCGATAGCACAGGGCGTGCTTGGAGTCGTTTTTCTCGCGGCTGCCTTCTCCGTTCTCCATATTAATCAACAACACGTGCAACGACGCCCGCGCTACTGCTCGACGTACTCTCCATCTTTCCTCATACTGCTCAAAATATGAACATTTTTTGCAAATTCTTATGTTTATATTTTTATTAAAAAATTGAAAGTAGATTTTGTAATAATAACATAATTTTATCTGGTGGTTATGACAATACCCGGTATGATAAAGCTTTTATTTGTTAATTGTTTACAAGAAATAAAGAAACCTTTGGCAATATTGAATAATATTAGCAATCAATTTTGTAATTTTATTTGAAAATGGCGAGACGCACATAAACTTTTTGATATATGTGAATTAATTTTTTCATCTTTCTTTACTCGTTATGCAGCCCGCAACGAATTTTGATATTTTAAAGTTAAGAAATTAAACATTGCTGAGAGGAAAACGCTGTATTCGGTCAAAGCGAATTTCTTCGTGCCTAATATCTTTTATGAATTTATAGAATAATATAAATATAATTTAAAAATATAATATAAATATAATTTAAAAAAAAAATTATTATTTAAGAAATACTATATATATAATTTAAGAAATTTTTATGAATTCATATATTTTGGTGCCGGCGTCTTTCCAATTAAAGGCGTATGATAATATTTATTGCAATAACTAGAAAAACAAATTAAGAAATCTTTTTATAACGTAATATATTTATAATATAAGTTGTAATACATATATATTTAAAAATAGGAGAGTTATAATAAAATATAGCAATTTAATTAAGTTGTGAGAATTATCTGGATTCCTTAAATTGATTTTACAAAAAAGAAACTTTACTTATGCAAATTTTGTCCTTTTTTTATAAATTAATTTTATAAATATCCTTTATTTATATTTATTATGTTTCATGTGTAATTTATACGTATACTTATATACTGTGTTATATATTTCAGATTCATGGCGTATTTGTAATAGCTTGGACTTCGAATGCCTGGCTAAGCATAAATGTAAACATTATTACATTATTAATCTAAAAGCAATTATTTCGTTACATAAACAATTAAAAAATTTTAATATTTATATTATTTATAATTTATTATTTAAGTAAATTAATATCACTTCATCTATACTCGATATATTGATTTTTATTTCCTTTATGAAATAGCTGGCTGGTTAACGATTCTCCCTCACGAGGAAGAACACACCAATTTTGAAAAGGAAGAAAAAGCTTTACATTGTTATAATTGTTTTGCTTCCTGCGAAGACATTAGTTACGATGTATTATCTTGGAATACTGTTATGACTCCTGGTGAATTCAATACTAACTTATTGTAAGTATACGACATTTTTGTCAGTATAAAATATAAAATTCTTGATAAAATATAAAATTTTTGAAGATTCCTAAAAAAGGCGCTGAAACTACTTTTGTTACTTAATTTCAGACAGAATTACAACGTTACTAATGAAGGAATAGTACACATATACTTTTCAAGATACGGTACAGTCATATTGAAACAAGACATGTCTTTTTACTGGTATGATCTCGTAAGTAAGTACAGATTGTTAAGGAATTATATTTATAAATGAGAGATTAAATTTAAATTCTTAATCCCAACTTTTATATCATTTTATCGGATCAAAGCTTTTAAAAAAGCCCTTGAAGAAAATGCAATTTGTTTTGAATATAGAATCAATTATAAAAACAAGATTCTTTTATTTAATACTTCTTTAACAAATCTTGTAATTATGAATTTAATTATTTTATTCAGTTTAAAAAAAATGTTTTTTTTAATAATCAAATTTAAGATAAAAACTATAAAAATAATTCTGTAAAGTGAGTAAAATTGATAAGTAGAAAGGTGATAAGTAGAAAGGGGTGTGTAAAAGACACAAACGGTCCTGCTCTTAATCTGTCATTGAACTTAATTAGTGTAAATATAGTACTTATAATTAGCGCCAAGACACTACCATATCTTCTGATATCACTGCGCTCCATATCTATATGTATAATTAGATTTTTGAAGAAATGACTCTTCCTGGTTTGCGATATTTCCACCTTTAACATTTTTAATTAGTTGCACATTGGGGAAAGAAATAAATTACAAAGAATTTTGCATTTAGTATGAAAACTGACGATGAGCAAATCTTTTCACAGTTGATACAAAACAAATGAAAAAGATATCACATGATCAAAGCTAGAGTAGTGTGGAAGAGAAATTTTCTGTCCGCGTTCTTCTGTAGGATGCCCGAGGGTTTTCAAAAATGGAATTTTAATATCCGACTGTGTATCACGTTTCTCCACTCTAGTCTGGTTCTCATGCAAAAAAAAAGATAATACTTCTCACATAGCGCAATTTCTAGTTGCCGGTGCTTACTTTGCGAATAAATTGCTGAAAAGAGGAATATTTTCTGAGAAACATGGAGAAGTTTATTCGACATTCGACTTTTCATAATCTCAAAAATTCAAGAAAACAATTTTTAATACATAATTAATGTACATTAGAAAAAAACAAATATTTTAAATTTGATTAAATATATTATATGTGAATGCATTTTATTTACTGATAAAATGAAGAGTGATAAAAGTTTTATTCAAAATAAATCTGTCTGAAAATTTTAGACATTTTACTTATTAATTAAAAAATCTGTTATTGTGAAATTTGAACATAGTTTTCTATATATCTTATTTTGTATATTTATTATTTATACATACTATAAAAATCAAGAAAAAATGGTAATACTTCAAATGTGAGAGCAGATATGCACTTTTTTCAACACTAATTTAAATACAGTTATAAATTCTACATCTATCTAAATCTACCCGGGAGTCGTTATTTTTTTACGTTAACTACTAATGAAAAGCAATAATTCTATATTAATACAAAGACGGAACTTATTAGATTTATATACACTGTAGGCTAAAAGTTTGGAAACACTTTTTAAAAATTGACTTTAGGGATTGTTTCAAATATCTATAAAACAATGTGTTTTTAACAATAATTCTTTAGGTCCAATAAGTATTATTGAATCTATAAAGAATTATTATAGATATTTGAATAATTAATCTCAAAAATGTTAATTTTTAAAAAGTGTTTCCAAAATTTTGAATTGAAGTGTATATACGTGTGTGTTTATATATGCATATACATGTACTTACAAACTAGGAAAAAAGATAGCATTACGTATCCGATTTATAAAGCATTGATTAAAGAGTAGTAAGCGTGTGTAAAAAAAGGAAAGTGACGGTGATATTGCTGGAAAAATCCGCTATCTCTTTTATAGAGTAAATCGCCACTACGTGCGTATAATATTTTTTTAAGAATGAACACTGAAAACACGCGGCAGTTTCATCAAATCGTCTTATCTTTCCTTGCTATCAAGATGTCGTATCATAAAGATGATCGTTTTGCAGGTGATCTCGGCGGTATATGCGGCGTCTTCATTGGCTTTAGTTTCATCACTATAGTGGAACTTCTGTACTTCTTTGTGCTCATGTTTAGCGATTTGTTCTGTAAAAAATCGGCCTTACAGGAAAATGATGATCGCAAGACTGAAATCCCATCAGATCAAACTCAAACCACAGGGGCAATATATTGGAACGAACTGCAACCGCGATCCTGGCAATTGACGAAATACGGCAAATTCTCTACTAACCGAGTCAGATATTGACTGACGGAGTTATTATGGAATCATTCAGGAAGATTTTCGATTGGAATAAAATTCATTTTCATCAGTTAATATTTGAAATTATTAAGAAGTAGGTATCTGATATCTATCTATCTATCTACCTATCTACATCTTACGAGCAAACGGAAGATCGATTCACAACAAAGCCTTAGATAAAAATAATTGGAGAAGATTGTCATTAATATCATTTTTAGACCGTATATGTGAGAAACACAATCGATAAATTAGAGCCCTATACCGGTCGAAACTAGATCTTAAAATGCTTAAATTCAATCTTGAATCACTAAATATGATATATATGTACTTGACATATATACCACAATTGTAGTCTAACGAACTGTGCACAAGATTGTCACTATTTATTTTTTATTACATAGCAATGATAAACCGATTTAGAAAAGATTTATTATTATCTAAAAATGGAATCATGATAGAAAGTTCCTTAGTCGAATATTTACTTTTTTTATCGGAAAATAATTCCATAATAGCTTTAATGACAGCCGGTTTAATATATATTAATTTTTATGAAATTATATATTGTCGTATTAATTTAGCATTAATTCTATTTTATTATTGTAAAAGATTGTTACAAAAAGCAACAAGTAGTTTTTATTATATTATCATAAATTAATTACTATTTTGGTGATGTTTTAAACTCTTTATGAAAGTATATTGATTTTACATATCTTAGGTCATTTTACATATTATCCTAAAAAGTCCCATAATACAACCTATGCAAAATTTTGGTTGCATTTCTGCATAATTAATATGCACGTGGAATTATCGAAAATCCATTAAAAGGTTCTTAAGCTTGATGCAAAATTTTAAGCTAGGTTTTATGTATAATGGTGCATTATAAACGCGAATTTTAACACTTTGTGAATATAATATCGATTTTTACTTTACAAAATTATGATAGATTATTATTATTTACAATTTTATACGTACGTGTGATTTTGATAATTCAAATATTATACGTAACATTTAGTTTCAAGTTCCACTATATAGAATCATAGAGATAATTAATTACATAAATTGATGCAATTATTATGCATATCTTGGGAAAAACATTTGCGTGCTGCAACTTCGAGTCAAAGGCTGTTTCATAAAGATGATATTGCTGGATAATAAGATGTTATTAATGAGGAAAGTGTTAAATAATGAGGCTGCAGTTGTTTACGAGAGAGATACGAAGCGGCTATAATACCTTCTCTGTAAGAGCATGAATAGAACGTGATAGAAACACGAAGTTGCATGGGAATTGTTATCTACTCCGATGACACTTGCCAGAGACACGTAATTAATTTCTCAACGTAATTATATTTTAACACAGATATTTATGTATATTCAAAATAAAAGTTTATCTAATAGCGCCATGTTTGTCGAATCAACTTTGATCTGTTTATTAAAATGACTTTAGTGCGATATAAGCGAATTTCGATTGACTTTATGAAAATTTAACTAAACCTTGCAATCAATATTAGCAATTCGATATTACAGTAAATAGATTTGACTGTTTGCAATTGCAGATGTTGCTTGTCAGTACTGGTTGCGTGTAATTTCATAAGCATACATAAGGTCTGTTTTATATGTATTTGAATATTTTGTTATTACATTGCACAATCATATATACGTAATATTGAGATTTTAATTAAATATATATTTAATTTAAATATAAATTATAAAGAGGAAATTTTATTCAGAGAAAGCATTCAGAATAATATCAAAGCATTCAGAATAAACTTTATGACAAATTTCTTTGATTATAAGTATGATTTTGATGCAGCTAATATTCGAAAAAATAAATAAGAAATGATTAAAAAATAGATTTATTTAATTTTTTTTATGAAAAATCTTTTAATTGCAAATAATCAAAAACTTAATTCTTATGTAAATTTAATTTTTATTTATATCAAAAGGTATACTTATATAGATATAGTTTTGAAAAATAAAAGGATATAGGAAAACGTAACATTCAATTTAATTTATTCTTATATCAAAAGAAAAACTGGATCAAAGAATCTTTATGTGAACTTTGTCGATGTAAGTAATTCCGGATCAGCCTGTAGAAGTTGCAGCCAGTTATGCGCCAGTTGTGCCACAAACTATCGTGAGACAGGTCAGGACGGTCTCTAGAGAAGAACAGGGTTGAGAGAGGCAAATATTATTAACGGGACAAGTACTAAACGTTTTGCGATGATATATCCGAGAAGAGCACTGAACAACGATGATCAGAAGCGTAAGGGTAACGGAGGAAGAAAAATATGGCTATCATGGTTGCAGTACCGTAATAATCTTCCCTTGTATCGCCATCGACTATATGTATCCGGTACTGTCAAACCGCACAAGGAGTCAGATTCCACGTAGAGGAAGATTTATTAACGAAAGCGCTATACCGCGGAACGCTGATAAATTATCGATAAAAAAGGAACAACACACCTTGACTCCGATGCCTTCCTGACAACCCTTTCATTCTTCTCTGGCCTCTATTATATTATGGGTTCTCTATTTTAAAATGATGTATGCGACTTGATATGAAATATATTCAACCAATATCTTGATATGAAATATAATAAGTGTCACGTTTTCATTGTTATCTTATAACATCAAATATTATGCAAAATTAATATGCTCTATTAGCACAAGCAATTAGTATAATATTATTCAAAGTACTTTGTTATCGGCTTTATGTATCTCTCGTTACAATACCGAGATCCATATATCACAAAAATAAGTCTTATCTTTATCTATCTTTATCTCATATGCAAAAATTGATAAAACTTTATCTTTCAACAATTTTTCTTAATTTTAAATAGAGGAATTTTTTACATGGCTGTAAAAATGAAAACTTAACAATAACGACTAAACATGCAGAGTACTCTTCCGTAATGCATAGTATTGCGGAAGTCATATAACATGCCCATACATACAAAAAAATGTATATTTTAAAATTTCGTACCAGATTTAAAATTTTGCGCGATTTGTTTCTATAAAAATTTGATTCAGAGTATATCATAAAAATTTCACTTTGCAGAACAATATTTTAGAATAAAATAAACATATTTATTTTTAAAATAATAAAACGATTTTTACAAAATATTTGCAGAAGAAGAATGAATGAACAAATAATAAGAAAAGTTTATTTTTTATTTGGAACAAGTTCAATATACTTTAAAAAAATCTTCCCGTTATTAACCTCTTAAAATGTATGTACATAACTAAACATAAGATTTTAAAAATACATAAGAAAATATTCTTTAATGAAAACAGATTTGCTTCTTTTCTTTCTTAATAAATGTTGTTTAACTTGTAATACATAATTTAACTAATTATGTAATCTCTTTTATGTCTTAAATATTTTTATACTATTTTAGAGATACTTTATTCTTAACGTTAAACAAGAAGAATATGTTATTACTATACATATATTTATGTATTTAAAAATTTACTTGGAAGTAGTTAATTTTAAAGCTTAAATTAATTGTTCAAATAAAATTTAAATAAATAATTATTGAATATGTTATATATTTATTCAGAAAATCAACATTAAGTTCAGACTTTTAATAGAAATTTGTTAATGATATTCAGTTTGCGTAAGACGTTGAAAAAAGTGATTTTTTCAACTCTCTCTTTTATAATTTTTTTGTTTCTGTAATATATATTGTATGTATAACGTGTATGTTTGTGTGAAAAGCTCAGTATTTATTCCTGAAAATTCAGAATGTTTTCAAAATTTATAATCCGAAGAAATCTGCTTTATACTACATCGGTCATCACTGATAGTTTCTAGCTTGTTAACTTGAATGCATCATTGCTCGCCTCTAGATCTTGTGTTTATGCTATTTGCTACCTGAATGTCGTAAAGTGGAGTCTCACAGTAGTCTTGACCAACGCAATTCGAACTTCTCCGCTTTGGGCACATCGAGCAAATATCCATTCGGGCAAACAAAGCGGTACACGTTGTATACGTAACTAGAGATAACGATCTTGTATAGATATTCAGACAAGAGAGAATACTTGATGTGGTTCTCATCCAAACGTATCTCTTTTCAATGAGAACAATGTCAAAGATGTCTATATAAAGATAATTTGTAACAAGAAATTTTATGATAATTGCTACAGTAGAGTACTCGTATGTTATTTTCCTAACTACATTTTTACTTTAAATAATCATTTTTCTAATTTTTTATCCACTTCATATCTTAAGGTTTTTTAATTATATTTTTGCACAAAAAAAGTTTAAGGTTTGATAAAGTATCTAAAGATTTAAATTAATATAAATCTGAAAATAATTTTGTTGGACTACCAAAATAATTATGTATTGCTAGAATGTCAAAACTTTTTGCAGAATTGCTTGTTGTGTTTGAGTTTTCTGCATAACTATTTTGATGGTTCAACAAAACTATTTTTAGATCTATATCTACCTAAGTTTTTAGATGTTTCAAAATCGTTCTTTTCGTATGTAGACAAATGCTATTAATACTTAATATTCATTATTAACTATAATTTTGTGTAATTGACTAGTGTATTTATCGTATTTAATAAAATGCAAGTTTAATAGGTTAATAATTATTATCTGCCTTAATATTAACACAAATTTAATTAATTTTGAATTATTCAAACTGTCCTTATATATTGATTGATTTATATTGATATATATATATATATATATATACGTTTGCATCCGCGTGATTACACACAAATGTATATATTTCTTCTTTCTTGCGAAATAATAATTTAATTATAAGAAAATAATTATAAAAAGAGTTAACTTTGATATATTGATAAATATCATTTTCATCGATATTAATAATTTTAATTAATTTTGATATGAGTATGTACATCTCTAATGCCAATAATATGCACCCCGTTTCTCGCTCCTGTTAATTTTGTGTCCGAAGGTACGCGAACATAATGCGAATAGACTGTGCATCGTGTGGAGTACCTATAGTCGGTGGCCTGTGTCTGGCGGAAACCAAAGG